GTATTTAAAATATCCGTGTTTTACCTACCATATTATATCACTTTATCAATTAACGCATTTTTTTCCCCCAGTACTTTAAATTTTAAAAATTTACAATAGAGTTTCATAACTAAAACCATTGCGCACCCAATGAACGTGATGACGCGTCTATAATAGTGCTTAATAGTTGATTAAAAATTATAAGTAGTAAACATTACATTCAGTGAATAAAATAAATAAAAGACAGCCTTTTATCAATCAATGCTAATTATAATATTCCAACAATAATGTACTCTTACACGCCTGCATAATTTGCATTCACATTTTGCTAATTATATTATTCCAACAATTATTCCGTCTTGCAGATTCTGCATTCACATTTTTAGCGTTAGTTCAATTTATTTTTAAAATACCTCCCTTGGCAAAATTACTAAACAGTTTAATTAGATTTTTCTAACCTACAGTTATTATGTTATTAAAATGTATCCACTTTTTTCTAGGAATATTAACGAAAACGATATTTGACATTGATCCTTTTAATATATTTTAGCAATGTGCGTGTATTTAATATTCTCTTTACGTTATGCAAAATTGTACAAACAGTGGCAATTATAAAATAGCTCTATGCCGCTATATAAACAAACCCTACTCTAATACTTATAATAAGACACTGCGGTGCACTGAAAAGCACAGCATGGTGCGAATGTTTACTTTTATGGTTCCAAAATCTATAGCGATGACGGAAGGAAGGAAGGACTGACACACTACCAGCAGCGTTATATTATAGATACTAGCTGCATCCCGTGCTCCGCCACGGTAAATCTTTTTTAAATGTACCAACTGGGGAACAGAACAAAACTAAACACAACACAAACGAACGAAAAAAAAACACAAAAGAAAAAACAAACACAACACTCATAACATAAACACAATTTAAATGCAATCATAAAGGCATATTGCTCACAGTCTAGCCCGTAGCGCCAAATCGCGCTCTTTCCGAGCGCCGCCGGACGCGTCTGACACAGTGAATGACTATAAAACAGAGGCGTAGCGACCCTTTCCGGCGCCCGGGGAAAAACTTTCAATTTGACACCCCCCCCCCTCAAACTTACGATTTGCACCCCCTCTCCTCAAAATTTCAATTTCCACCCCACCCCCTTAAACTTTCGATTTCAGACTTCTTTCGTTCAGACTTTCGATTTGCACCACTTTTGATTTGAAAATCCCCCCCCCTCCCTCAAACTTTCGATTTGCACCCTCCCACCGCCCTCAAACTTCCGATTTCCACCCCCCCCCCCGCACATTTTTTTCAATCCACTTTGGCGCCCCCTTAGGTCGGCAACCGGGGACATATGTTCCCACCCCCCCTCTCTACGCCTCTCCTATAAAACCCCCAGCAGTATTTAAAATATCCGTGTTTTACCTACCATATTATATCACTTTATCAATTCACGCATTTTTTTCCCAGTACTTTAAATATTAAAAATTTACAATAGAGTTTCATAACTAAAACCATTTCGCATCAAATGAACGTGATATAATAGTGCTTAATAGTTGATTAAAAATTATAAGTAGTAAACATTACATTCAGTGAATAAAATAAATAAAAAATAGCCTTTTATCAATCAATGCTAATTATAATATTCCAACAATAATGTACTCTTACACGTCTGCATAATTTGCATTCACATTTTGCTAATTATATTATTCCAACAATTATTCCGTCTTGCAGATTTTGCATTCACATTTTTAGCGTGAGTTCAATTTATTTTTAAAATACCTCCCTTGGCAAGATTACTAAACAGTTTAATTAGATTTTTCTAACCTACAGTTATTATGTTATTAAAATGTATCCACTTTTTCTAGGAATATTAACAAAAACGATATTTGACATTGATCCTTTTAATATGTTTTAGAATGTGCGTGTATTTAATATTCTCTTTACGTTATGCAAAATTGTACAAACAGTGGAAATTATAAAATAGCTTTATGTCGTTATATAAACAGACCCTACTCTAATACTTATAATAAGACAATGCGATGCACTGCAAAGCACTAAATGGTGCGATGTTTACTTTTATGGTTCCAAAATCTATAGCGATGACGGACGGACAGACACAGCCCGCTTATATTATATATATATATATATATATATATATATATATATATATATATATATATATATATATATATATATATATATATATATATATATATATATATATATATAACTGTGCGCGCGCAGATTTAGCCGATTTGAACCGAGAATTTCGGTCTCAGCCACGTCCTTTTGTTTCGTCCAAGGAAAGTGATTTCGTAATGTTTATATTTTTAAATTATCATCAACACCTAATAATATCTAGAACACTGGTTTCGCAACTGTTGTTTGATACCCCCAGGGGGTGGGAAGGGCTTTTTTTGGGGGGGGGGGGGGTCGCCTACTGGTAGACTAAACACTAGCAATAGAAAAAACAACTAAATATTTTGAAGAATATCTAAAGTTCGGCTTTACTAACATCACTTAAAATGGAATAGAGAAGAAACAAAGCGTATTGTGCAAAGTTGTTCTCAGTCACGAGTCTATGAAACCTTCAAAACTAAAATTTCATTTCGAGACGAGACATTCGTAACACACCAAAAAAGATATGGAGTTCTTTCTTCGGCAAGAAGCTAGAAGCAAACGCCAGAGACTTGATTGAACAGGAAGTTTTCATCAATGAAACGCAGAATTAGTGCAAGCATCAAATGAAGTCGCATTATAAATTTCTAAGCAAATACCCTCTCACACAATAGGAGAAAATCTCATCAAACCCCGCATGCTGAAAATGGTGAAATTAATTCTTGGGGATTCCAGTGCAGTAAAGATGCAACAAATATCTCTGTCCATTGATTCACCGGTATGCCCTCGCTAGCAAGACTCTTCCAAATTTATTGCTAATAAAAGTCGTAACTTAGATGAAATCTGGAGCCCTAAACACCCCATCTATTTGAAGAAATGTGTATAGATTTTGTGAATACTGAAATAATATAATTGTGTTGCTGGACACCTTAAGATTTGAAGCTAAGTTGAGGCAACCCTTGCCCTCTGCTGTATGTTAGCATCTGTAAATACAGTTTTAGATCATGTGATATATATATATATATATATATATATATATATATATATATATATATATATATATATATATATATATATATATATATATATATATATACGAGCTGACCCGCAACGTAGCATGCGCCACTTATTAGTGGTTTTATTTTCTGTTTTTCAGTAATTCATAAATTGTGAATTCAACACTACACACTCTCCCCCCCCCCCCCCCACCCGTGAAAGCAGCTGTCTGTGACGACAGTGAAAAGCGGAATTTCTTACCTCTCCTAGTTTTAAATTGCTTAAAAGCTTAATTGTCTGCCCCTAATAGCAGTCACATTGTAAACATTCGGGGTGAACCACAGCTCACCAGACTGGTGGGGGTGGTAGCGATATGCCTAGAGAGCGGCGTAGGAACGGCTAAGCTCTTACGTGGTGGTGTCCCGCATGGTCCCCACGTACAGAATTATATATATATACGAGCTGACCCGCGACGTAGCATACGCCGTTATTTAGATTAATCCCTATATTTCAGTAATTCATAATTTGTGAATTCGACAATACCAATGCTGTGACTGAAAATATTTTGCTTTCAAACATTATCAGTAGCTAGTGAAGGGCGATTATCCTCACCCTCACTTTCCACCCCCCCCCCTCGCAAAGCAGCCGTCTCTGACGACAGTTAACAGACGACAATGAAAAGAACAAGCAGAACAGGGTATTACCTCCCCTTAATTTTAAATAGTTTAAAAGCTAAATTATCTGCGCCTAATAGCCGTCACTACGATTGTAAACAGCTCACCAGACTCGTGGAGTGGGGGTGGTAGCGATATGGTCTGCTAAGCTTACGTCTTGGTGGTGTCTCGCGTGGTCCCCACTTAGAGAATTATATATATATATATATATATATATATATATATATATATATATATATATATATATATATATATATATATATATATATAATATACTAGCCGTCTCGGCCAGGCCCCGCACTGGCCTCTGTGAAAACCTATCTGTAAAGGACCCTGACTTGTGTGTTTAGTAATCAGCATATACCTGGCATTGCCCGGGTTTAGGAAATTATTATTTTTCGAAACAACCCTAACCACAACCATCCAAAACACACACACACAAAACGCAAACATAACACAAACATAAACCCAACCGCAAACACAAACGCAAATCCAACCACAAACGCAAACACAAAGAAACACACACGCAAACCTAAACGCAAATAATAACTCGGAATAATGCAAATAAACGCAAACATAAACGCAAACTTAAATGCAAAAATAAACGCAAAGTGCTCACATCCTAGCCCGCGGCGCTACATCGCGCCAGCGGAACAGCCTGATTCAACTTAATAAACGACTATAATACCCCAACTTTTTCATAGACTTTTGCACTCACTTAAACGTACGTAGGTGCCATAGTGAAAACGATAAGGTCCGGGACGCCAAATTGCACCGAGCAGAAACCGACAACATGTGATGTTAACCTTAGAGGGGCGGGGTATTTTGAACTTTCTCATGGGGAAAAACTCATTTTTATCGCCTTTGTTTGATAAATAAAATGGCTTATCATTTTAACACAATTTAAAGACGATCACGAATGTTTCCGTTAATTGCTAGGTTTAGTCTAAAATGCAAGTTGTCTAAATGCTTGCGAATGAGAACTAATTGACAGTAACACCATCTGACGACATAACCTTTAATTGCTTTCTTTTTAAAGATGGCTCAATCGTTTGTCACAATTTGGCTGCTGATTGTGTTTTTGAAGCTTGTGATTCAAATATTAAAACTGTTGTTTTCTATAGTGAAAACAAACTATGCAGTAAATTTGGGGGCCCCTAAAAATCAGGGGGCCCCTTGCTGCAGTCCTCTCAGCCCCCCCCCCCTAACCTGCTACTGTGTCTAACTTCTACCTGTGGTTCCACCTTTAAGAAAAATAAGTGTGACGTAGATGAGAATGTAATCCCAGCGGAAGGATAGCTTGACGTCACGGCTATCAGCAGGGTACGTCATACTGTTGACTACAAAATGAAAACATATGAGTTGCTGAACATTTTCTTTTATTGTAATTGTGCACATTTTTTAAACCGAATGTTTTTTATATCTTGAATGTTTGTTATATGTTGATTGTGTGTTTGTTAAATCTTGCATGTTTGTTTATTATATCTTGAATGTTTGTTTGTTGTATCCTGAATGTTTGTTATATCTTAAATGTTTGTTTGTTATATCCTGAATGTTTGTTATATCTTGATTGTTTGTTTGTTATATCCTGAATGTTTGTTTGTTATATCTTGATTGTTTGTTTGTTATATCTTGATTGTTTGTTATATCCTGAATGTTTGTTTGTTATATCTTGATTGTTTGTTTGTTATATCTTGATTGTTTGTTATATCTTGATTGTTTGTTATATCTTGATTGTTTGTTTGTTATATCTTGATTGTTTGTTATATCCTGAATGTTAGGGCGGACACCAAAGTGGCGCCGTTGGTGTATTCGTGCATTTCTTTAGACCAGACTCTGGCCAGCACTTACCAATGTCTTTGCTGTACAAAGGAACAAATACGTTGATGACCCTGCCTAGTACCAGCAGACATAGACAGACCCCCACGGTCAGCTGAAGCGTGATGCTCCCCTTAGGCCAGACGTACGGTAACATCAGCTTGACCTTTGCTAAAGAATTATCCCAGGTTGACTTCTGATCAGACGAGTTGCTTCCCTTTTGTTGAAAAAAGTTTCATATTGTTCTTAATTCACAGCTACATATTAGGACGGCAGCAGTCGCGCACACTTGAACACGACACACTTCAACAAGACACACAGGAACACGACAAACAGGAACAACACACACAGGAACACGACACACGTGAACACGACATACTTGAACACGACACACAAACATTACTCTTCATAGGGCCCTCTAGCACTACTCCCCAGGGTAGCACTTTGATCATTGACTTATCTTCTAGTGAACTAGAATCTAGTCTAGTCTACTCTGCTAGCGCTACACACATAGAATTATAAAATATCAGTGTAAGCTTGCAAATACATACAATACTTTTTACTGCTTTAACGTTTAAGGGAAGAAATTTTCGAAACTCTATAGGGCTGGAAAGTAGGTCACCAACCAGTTCTACGGCTCAATAAAACCTGCATGAGCCATAGAACTGGTTAGTGACCTACTTTCCAGCCCTATAAGTACCCATGTATTATAAATGCAGTCCAAATGCCGTCAAATGTGTCTACAAACCTCCTGGTCATCCAATGCCATATAAGGAGTGGGCGGAGTTTTGGTCACTGCAAGCAGTAGCAGGAGCAGCGCCAGCACATAACGGACCACGAACAAACCCAGCTCAGCCGCGTCTGATTGGCTGGAAATTGTAATCAAACAGAAATCAAATTTGCGTCCTCTACTGTCATTACAAAAAGGGGCCTGCTGGCTTGTCTAGTAGTCTGGAATCTTTTACTACAGCCGGTATACTTCCAATAAATACAAAAATATATAGATCTACAAAAGCAATTTTTGGTAAAATCACGATATAGCGTCGGAAATTATTGGGTAATGTTCGTTGAGTTTCGGTAACATTCGTTACTGTAAACCATAGTTTATTTGACCGTTGAAAGAAAAATAAAGTCAAGTGCATTGAATTAATGTTTTAACTTAATTTAATGTTTAACTGACAAAAAATTAGCAACAATTAGTAAATCTAAATATTATTAATAAAGTCGAGTGTAGTAATTAATGTTTTTTTTTTAAGAAACAGAAAAAACCTGCAGAAGATTTGCGACAACCAGCTCTATTTCTGTTAGATCTAGTAAATAAGACGATTAGATTTTCTAAAGTTAAAGTAGTAAGAATAACTAGAATAATGTTTAGTAGCAGCAATAATTAGCACATACACTTAAAATAATTAGAAATACAAAATAATTAGCAAAACAGTATTTAAATTGCAACTAAAATCAATCCTTGCACATTTTTCAACATTATGTATTAAAAATAATATGGCGGCAAATAAATGATGGTTTACAGTATTTCCGGTGGTTTCCGGAACGGCTCGACAGACTACGCCATGGTTTTACTGTTTTTTACTGCTGTACAGTTCCGGAATAATAACCGACGCTATATCGTGATTTTACCCAATTTTTTATATAAATATTTCACGAAACAGCCACCTCTTAATAATCAGACCTATTTTCTTTTTAACACAAAATGAAGTTGTCGTCTTAGCTTACCCATCCCGTAAACAAAATGAATTTTATTTTCTTCAATAATGTTTTTCGTGCACCTTGATGGTGGTTTTATAAAAAGTTAACAGGTCTACTATAGCAGTGATTGTTCTACAGTAACTAACACTGTTGCGTAGAAGAATATTTTAAAACCTACAAGAGCTGTAGTTTGAAAGATACTTCCATGACTTACTACCCTTTTTAAAATAGGGGTGTCCATAAATCTCATTAAAATATTTTTGTACTAAGTAAATTAAAAAGCAATTGAAATTCTTAATTATTATTTAAATAAGACATACTAAGAATCGTATAGCTATAATAAACCGGGAGTGATCTCCCCAAAACTTTCTCGAAGATTCTTATATAAAATAACAGGGGATGGGAACTCGGGCTATAGACAAGATTTTTAATCCATTTTAAATACTTAAAGTTTTAAAAATAGAATAAAATCTCTTAGACAAAAGAACTGCACACCAAGTGAACGCCAAATAAAAAAGTGCATAATAGTGCGCAATATTATAAGTACTTTAAAAATTGACATTAGTTTTTTGAGAAATCGGAAGTAGCGTAAATTACTACTTTCGGTCAACGGAAATTACTCAAAATTTAACAGAAGGTAGAGAATTAGATCGTTTACTTACATGTGAAATTTCATTTATCTATCTGAAATAGTACTCAAGTAATAGGCTTTTGAAAAATTCAAATTAGGAAAAGTACCACTTCCGGCTATCGGAAATCGCTCAAAAGTTGATACGGATCTACGATTTTGATAAAATACTTACATATGAAATTTCATCAACCTAGCTGTAACGGTTGTAACGAAACACCACTCTATCAGCCAGATAGTTGGCGAACGCTCCCGGATTCGTTTAACTGATTATACACAGATGGCGACAAGCCTAAATAAAAGAAAGCTAACACAATAGTTCACTAGGACTCGTACTTGATGTCTAGGGGAAACACTAGAGAAACTACTGATGCCAACAATACATTTAATCTGCATATAACTTTTAATGAGTGTACAAAGTCGTGGCAGGACACTAGATTTATACAGGATAAAATAGATTTACAGAATGAACAAAACCCAACTTACAATTTGTGTGAAAAAAATAATATGATACACTATCACAGCTTTTAACACTTCAGAAAAATCACCACAGTTTACACAACGCTGCTATAAGCATAAAGTATTACTTAACCACAAGTAATATAAGAATATGCTGCTTAAACTACTTAGTCATAAACGGCGACAGCAAGGGCTTATTATCTCTCAACGATGTCTGGTCAAGTAACTGCCTAGAGAAACCTGTGCGCGGTCTATTTATCGACTTAGGCAACATGGAAGGTTATTGGTTGGGGTACCACCTGGTCCGAATCAACCAATCATCTCATAATGGAAAAATACTGAGTCTAAGACTTTCTTAAGACAGTGGAAAAAACCAGTGATTACACCACAGACCATATATGGTAAAGTAACAAATGTAAAAATAAAAATTACCAGTAATCTTGTTTACACACGGACACACAAACAGACAGACAGACACACAGACATACGGACAAGATTGCAAAATTATGTTTTTCCGTATCAGTGAGGTGTAAAACGTCGAGATTTGTATAAATCTCGATCTTTTTTTTTTGCACGATTACAATACTTTCTCTATACTTCGTATATACGAGAAAGTAAAAATGAATGTATTAAAAAATAATAATATAAATACAAAAATCATAAAAATAAACATAACGCGATAAACCATTGCAAAAATATACTTTGACTAGCTTGACTGTTACCAAATGTTTCTTGTCACAGTTTTCGGTAAACATGAAATGTCATTAAAACAATTATAAACATAATTAATTTAGGCATAATTTTGTCTAGTTTGTTGTAGTATGGTGGTTATACATTGCAATGAAATTAATTAAATTACTCAGGTAATAGATTATTTAAAATTTAGTGAAGCAGGATGTTTATAATATATATATATATATATATATATATATATATATATATATATATATATATATATATATATATATATATATATATATATATATATAGGAGGGCCCAACAACTTTTTGCGTGGGAGTCTTTTTTTTCTAGTTCCGCCACTGATTCTATCTCATTTTGTATTTTAACTATATTAATATTATTACTGCTATGTTAATGTTTTGACTACTCCATTGCTTTTTATTACAATGCTGTTATTTTTTTTTTAAACGGCCATTGGAAAAAAAGGCCTCGGTTCCTACTGTTGTTACCGTTATTGAATAAATTGAAAAAAAAAATGATTAAATAACGTGAGTATTTCGGTCAATTTAATTTTGCAAATCTTTTTTTTTTTTTTTTTTTTTGTACGGAAGTTGCATGCCGCCCTAGAGTACTTAACAAGGCCGCAGGTAATAATGAGATTAAAATGACAGTGCTTATATCATTTTGATGTAACTTTCCTAAATGCAATTTGATTGTGTGTTTTATATTTCATCATATTCAACTGTTTCCTTATTCATTTGTTATAATTACGCCCATTTGTACCAATTACTTCCCTTGACAAACAATGTTTTACTTTCTCATATAGAGAAAGTATTGTAATGTTCCAAAAAAAAAAAAAAAAAAAAACAAAAAAAAAAAAACAAAAAAAAAAAAAACACGAGATGTTTACAAATCCCGACGTTTTACACCTGACTGATACGGAAAAACATAATTTTGCAATCTTGTCCGTATGTCTGTGTGTCTGTCTGTGTGTAAACACGATTACTTGAGTACCGTTACAGCTAGGTTGATGAAATTTCATATATAAGTATTTTATCAAAATCGTAGATCAGAATCACCTTTTAAGCGATTTCCGATAACCGGAAATGGTACTTTTTCTACTTTGAATTTTTCAAAAGCCTATAACTTGAGTACTATTTCAGATAGATAAATGAAATTTCACATGTAAGTAAAAGATCTAATTCTCTACTTTCTGTCAAATTTTGAGTAATTTCCGTTGACCGAAAGTACGCTATTTCCGATTTCTCAAAAAAACGCACGTAAATTTACGTAAAGTACTAATAATATTGCGCACTATTATGCACATTTTATTAGGCGTTCGCTTGGTGTGCAATTCTTTTTTTTACGAGATTCAATTCTATTATAAAAAGTTTAAGTAATTAAAAATGGATTACAAATAATGTCTATGTCCTGAGTTTCCATCCCTCGTAGTTTTATATTAGAATATCGGAGAAAGTTTAGGGGAGATCACTCCCGGTTTATTTAAGTTTGTTTTATGTTGGAAAAAACAACAATAATTTTTTTAATTACCCTAGTTTTATGAATTGCAATGTTGTAGGTAAAACACGCGTATTCTAAAAAATACCTTTTATTTATTTTATACACTTAATATACTGTTTACTAATTATTATTTTTCATCAATAACAGTTTAGAAACCGTTTCTAAATGTATTTTATGTTTACGTTTATGTCTCTCTCTCTCTCTCTCTCTCTCTCTGCGTTATTGTTTGCGTTTATGTTGGCTTTTGTGTTTGCTTTGTATTTGCGTTTTTGTTTGTGTTTGCGTTTGCCTTTGTGACCCGAAGTAGTATTTTACGCTATTTCCGATTTCTCAAAGAAGGTAATTAATGTTTTCTTTATTGTACTCACACTGTTTAGTAGCGTAGCTGAGAGAGAGGGGGGGGGGGGGAAGAGAGAGGGGTGTGAGTGGCGCCAAAAGGGATAGAGAAAATTAAGCTGCAATGTTGAATAATATTATTTACAGTTATAAATTTATGAAATAAACGGATAGAAGGCTTTAAAAACCGATTCAACTGTTTTCAACCTTGATTGTTTTATGGTTTAATGAAGAAAAAAAAATCTGAAGCCTCAAGAATCAGTGACTGGTAAAATCCGCTCATTATTTTTTTTGAGGGGGGGGGGGGGGGGGGGGGGGGAGGTGCGCTTTTTCGCGAATGTAAATCAGAAGGATTTACACCAGATTGGTGAGTAGATACAACTGTGTAACAGTAATACAAAAACCTTGATTACGCTAAAGGAAGTAATTTGGATAAAATGTTGTACAAATATTCTGGATAAAACAACAAACCCTTCAAAAATTGGTCACGTACGTCAATGAGTTTCGATATCAGCTAAACTTCCTTCATATTGTACTCAAACAAATCTCCCCAAACGGTGCCGCTCTCTCTGATAAATTGTTCTAGGGGAGAGAAAGAGAGAGAGAGAGAGAGATAGAGAGGGGGGTGGGGCTAGCTCTGCTCATCCTCTCCGTTACGCCTCTGTAGCTTTGACTAGAATAACCTTTTCAACTTTGACTGTCTCAACTATTATGACCTGTTCACTGACCTTTTTAACTATTATGACCTGTTCACTGACCTTTTCAACAATTATGACCTGTTCACTGACCTTTGCAGCTTCCACCACCAAGTGGGATTGTTCCAGGAAATAAACATGAGATTCTCGCGGACAAACAACAAGCCGTAGAAGAGAAGTAGGACAAGGCCTTGACCTCTAGTTGGTAAACTTGGTAACATACTTCGTCTCTCCATAGCCAGTAGCCACAGTGACATAATACAGGCACAAATGATGGTACACGCCTCTAGTACCTGTACAAGTAGACTCAATACAGGTACAAATGATGGTACACGCCTCTAGTACCTGTACAAGTAGACTCAATACAGGTACAAATGATGGTAGACTCAATACAGGTACAAATGATGGTATAAGTAGACTCAATACAGGCACAAATGATGGTACACGCCTCTAGTACCTGTACAAGTAGACTCAATACAGGTACAAATGATGGTACAAGTAGACTCAATACAGGTACAAATTATGGTACACGCCTCTAGTACCTGTACAAGTAGACTCAATACAGGCACAAATGATGGTACAAGTAGACTCAATACAGGTACAAATGATGGTACAAGTAGACTCAATACAGGTACAAATGATGGTACAAGTAGACTCAATACAGGTACAAATGATGGTACACGCCTCTAGTACCTGTACAAGTAGACTCAATACAGGTACAAATGATGGTACAAGTAGACTCAATACAGGTACAAATGATGGTACACGCCTCTAGTACCTGTACAAGTAGACTCAATACAGGTACAAATGATGGTAGACTCAATACAGGTACAAATGATGGTAGACCCAATACAGGTACAAATGATGGTAGACTCAATACAGGTACAAATGATGGTACACTCAATACAGGTACAAATGATGGTAGACTCAATACAGGTACAAATGATGGTAGACTCAATACAGGTACAAATGATGGTAGACTCAATACAGGCACAAATGATGGTACACTCAATACAGGTACAAATGATGGTAGACTCAATACAGGGACAAATGATGGTAGTCTCAGTACAGGTACAAATGATGGTACACTCAATACAGGTACAAATGATGGTAGACTCAATACAGGGACAAATGATGGTAGTCTCAATACAGGTACAAATGATGGTACAAATAGACTCAATACAGGTACAAATGATGGTAGACTCAATACAGGCACAAATGATGGTACACTCAATACAGGTACAAATGATGGTAGACTCAATACAGGGACAAATGATGGTAGTCTCAATACAGGTACAAATGATGGTAGACTCAATACAGGTACAAATGATGGTACACTCAATACAGGTACAAATGATGGTAGACTCAATACAGGTACAAATGATGGTAGACTCAATACAGGTACAAATGAAGGTAGACTCAATATATATATATATATATTGGTTGGTACTCTATTGTTGGTTGGTTATTTTATTTGTGTTCACAGTTTGCTTGTTTTTCTTGTGTTTAATTATAGCTGAATCGGGGTAATGTTCCTCCCTCCCCTTCTCAAAAGATGGCGCCCGGTTTTCACGGCGCGGGGGTCTGCCAGGGTGTCACGGGTAATTTACAAGCGTTCGTAGTCGTGGACTGCGGCCGGAGCTTGACCGGACCCTAGGTGTGAGCATGCATTTGTGTTTTGATTTAATGTCCCGTCTTCCTAAAGGGCCGCCTCCTTTCATTTACGGGCGAAAGTCCACTAACTGTGTCAGGTAGGGTCAAGCCGGCGGTTTGAAAGGATGGGGAAAAGGGAGGTTGGACAGACTATATGAGAGGAAGGGCGGATAGTGTGAGCTCTCTTACACACACACACATAGCTAGGGCTAGAGGCTAGTCGAGGCTTTCTAGTAGCAGCCTTAGGGTTGGCCGAGGGCTGGCTCAGTGGCCCAGCTGATGTAATGTTGATATGGCCTGGTGTTCACACCAGCGGCCCAACGTCTTGTTCACTGTACATATGTGCTTTGTCCAGATGTTTACATCTGTGACCTGATGTTTAGACTAGTGGCCAATGTTGTACCGGTGGCCAAACGTCTTGTCCCGGTAGATACGTTCTTCGTTCCAGTGGCCATTTTCTATGCGGCTGATGTTTGTACCAGTGGCAAAACGTTTTGTTTCTGTGAATAGGTGCTTCGTTCCGGTGACCAGGGACAGTAGCGTAGCGAGGGGGCGGCGGGGGGACTTATGTACCCGGGCGCCGACCTTAGGGGGCGCTAAAATGGGTTGGAAAAGTAAATAGAAAGGTTGAGGGGGGTGCAAATCAAAAGTTTGAGGGGGGGGGGGGGTGCAAATCAAAATCTCAAGGGGGGGGGGGGTGCAAATCGAAAGTTTGAGGGGGGTTGCAAATGGAAATCTCGAGGGGGGGGGTGCAAATCGAAAAGTTTGTCTCCGGGCGCCGGGAAGGGTCGCTACGCCTCTGACCAGAGATTTGTTTCTGTGGTCCGACCCTGAAGTTTATACATGTGGCTGATGTTTGTACCAGTGGCTCAATGTTTTATTCCAGTGGCTGGAAATCTTCCTGCCGCTGTCGATCTGGATTGTTGTGATTCTGAGATTTTGTAGCCACGCAAGTAGAAAAATAAGAACTAGGGATAATGACATTTACATTGGTGTTTCTGAGATTACACAAGCAGTGAAAGTAGTGTAGGACTTAAGAAAATGATATTCACTTGTGTAATTTTGGGTTAAGTAAAATGCGGGTTTACAATTCACACTTACATATTTTGTTGAATGTTATGTAACCAAGGTGAATAATTTCGTATGGGGATGTAAGTTTAAGGATTTTTTGTCTTTTTGATTTGTATTAGGAATTCAAGTGATGTTTTCTTGAATATGAAAGACTGGCCAGGTCTTATTTGTGTTGTTTCTTTTGCTTTTGCTTTGTGACGTCAAATGTAGATAAATGAATGTATTAACTGTGTGTTACTAAGTTTTATTTTTAGTTAATATTAATGTTGTATTAGTGTGAAGTAGTTAGTTTTGTTCAGGTCTGATAAACCTTCCCTTTTCCAAAGGGGAATGCACGGATTTGAGAGAATAATTACCATTCTCTTTAATCGGGGAACCCCCTCTAACATATATATATATATATATATATATATATATATATATATATATATATATATATATATATATATATATATATGTGTGTGTGTGTGTGTGTGTTTGTGTATGTATGTTTTATTTACCTGAAATCCATACAATGTTTTCTGGGTCAAATATACATCGCTCATGGCAAGGTGAAGGACACTTTCAATAATGATGAGAATCGTGCAGAGAACCTGGCAGAGAACATGATTAATCACGTGACCGTCTTTGTCCAGTCTTTTAATGTCCACTTTTGACCATTTAGTTATAGCCCCATTTTTACACCATAAACCTAGCCAAGATTTGAGCAGAGAGGGAACACAATACACCGCAGGGGATTTCAATTTTCAGAATTTCTTTTGACATGAAAACCAAGAAGGCCAGCCGTCTCAATCGTTACCCAGAAAGATTCGCAGTGGGAAAATGCTCAACGGAAAATGTGCAAATAGAAAAATGCGCACACAGGAAAATTACACACACACACACACACACACACACACAAACACAAATATAAACATAAACATACACACACACACATACATATATATATTAGGCATACTGCCTAGCTTCGCTTAGGTTTTCAAAAAAATTGAGGAATTGAATGATTAATTAATAGGTGATTGGCTGCTATGTTAAATGCTTAGGGCCTAAATTTATACAGGGGAGTAATTTCGCGTTACACAAATATTGATGGAATATTCGCAAACTTATTACTCGCACGGTTATTAGAACTGCAAGGGATTTCTTAATAGTATCAATCAAATATTATAATAAATTACTTTCGCAATTAATTTTTGCAATTTCAGTACAATGCAAAACTTAATTTAAAACAAAATATTTATTTAAAACAATGCTATACTTTATGATTTTTGTTTTTTTCTTGAAAACAGTATACAAAATATTTAAAAATTATTACATTAAAAAGTTACCTCCCCTGTTCATAGACCAAATGACCAAATCTCGTATAATGAGAATTTCATTCGCGGTCATTTTTAGCCCTCTTAGAGAGCTTTAAGTCTGACCAACAGTTTTTCCATACGGAAAAACACATCTATACAGGTGTACAAAAAAATAGCCAGGTTGAAGATTCCCGATTTTTCCCGGACATGGCGAGTTTTTGTGACACCCCAAGGCGTTCTCCTACCACCTCACAAAATTTCAAGGGGGGTCGTCGGAGGAAATTTTTTTTCGTAACAGAGCTCATATAAAGAGAATTTCACTCGCGGTTCTTTTTTAGCCCTCGTCGAGAGCTTAGAGTGAAACCGACAGGTCTGCCCTATGGCCAAGCCATTTACTTATAAGCATGCCAAAAATTAGCCAGATGTAAAGAGGGTAAGTGCCCTAAAATCCGTTTTCAAATTACCCTCTGTTTTTCCCATAAAATACAAAGATTATATAGGGAAATACAACTGGTCAGTGTTGACCCCTTTACGAAGTTTTCCCAGATATGCCGAGTTTTTTGTGACACCCCAACTAAGTCTCTTAATCCATATTAGGTCAGCACCATTGGAAAACGATTGTACATAAATATAACAATTTGAATGATTTCGGTAAATTGATAATTCTGTTTGGGAACGGATGAATCCTTAAGAAGGCACAACATAACACTTTTATTTTCTTAAAAAAAATAAATAATAATAAATCGCCCTCCTCCCACCCTTTATGCCCGCCACTGAATGTAAATTTTGTTATAACAATACAAGAAGGTCACTGACTGTCTACTACAAGCATCCCGTCTGTTCACTACGAAACGTCTTCATCGGCCCGCATACAATAGGGTATCTTATTACTTGTTTTCCAAATTTTCCTCCCTGGTCAGGTCGGGGGATAATTCGATTCCACTCGTCTCCAGTCACCTCAGGTCAAATGCGAGGCGACCGTACCCTTCACACAGGGAGGTGTGACACTATAATTTAAGACCAGTCCCAATTTAGGTGGGAGATAACTCACTATAACAATCAACAACGTCGGCATTTGACCATTTCGTTTTTCCCAAGTGAATTCAGCAACCATTATTTAAGTTTACAAACTAATTCAGATAACAGTGACGGTGCTGAAGCGTGGGGCCCCTCCTCTGCGCAAAAATTTTTTTTTAATTCGCAGGGGTGGCGCCCCAGGCAGTGCGCGATTTGTTTTTTCTCTATATGCGGTTTGTAAAAATAAAAAACGATTTTGGTTTGACAGCGTTCATCCGATCGCCATCAAACTTTTGTGAGTTCATTAGAACACTCTGGGGAAGGGTTCTGTAAAAAAAATTTTTTAATTTCGCAAGGGCGGTGCCACGGGAGGGCGCGATTTTTCTCTATATTCGGTATATTAAAAAAATCGATTGCATTTTCACACCATTCATCCTATATATATATATCAAACTTTGCGGAGTTAATTAGGTCGGCGCCACGGGATGGTGGGATTTTTCTCTATTACGGTATATAAAAATAAAGACCATTGCGGTTCGACACCGTTTATTCTGGTGCCATAAAACTTTAGGGAGTTGATGAACACTCACGAGAAGGTTTCTGGGGTGAGAGAGGGGGTGTGTGGGTGGGCGTGGGAGGGGGATTTAAATTTACATGGGCGGTCCCTCGCCTGGATGCGATTTGGCGCCCTGGTCTTTCCCGTGAGAGCTATGGCGACTACGTTTGGTCTAAAAAGTGTAATAGACAATGGGTAGGATGGGGCGTTACAAACGCTCACTAAATTGAATCAGGCGTGTCCGACGGCGCCCTGGTAGGGTGCGATTTCAGTTTCGGCCCCCAAAGGCTCACAAGGGCCGCTGAGGGCCATGTAATACGTTTTATTTTAATAATCAGAAAAATTAACAAAGGTTAGATTATTAACTGGGACGTTTCTTTCTGTCCGTAAAAAAATCCAAAAAGTTTCGTCACTTTGCGAATGATGCAATTAGCATCTATTTTTTTACAATCCAATCAGAAATTGAGATCAAGCATCTAATAATAGACCATTAGTAACGCTAACATATTGCATCAGTCACACTGATGTTTAAAACACGTCAAATAATTTTTTTTACGTGTTAAGGAAAAAATCCTGTTCATTTGTGTCACTTTAGCGAATGACGCAATCTGTATCATTGTTACAGGATGCTATTGGCACGATGACGCCTGTCAGTTTTAAGAAGCCAGGGGCCGTAGGCGGTGCCTATGCTGTATAGTAATCGGTGGGGGGGGGGGGCTCCTAAAAGCGCCCATCTACGTCCCTGACACATGGGCGGTCACCGAAGTGTGATCTACCTCATTATTTCGATGAGTGTTTAATGTTTTCATGCGGCATTCTAGGTAAACCCGTGTCCCGGTATCCAAGCGCAGGCATTGTTTACATTTAAATAACTCACTTCTAGAAAACAAGTTGACGCGTCTAACAATATAGGATGAAACCCTTCTTATATATTTGGTTGGAATTTCTTCTGTTCCCGCGGCAACGCACGGGGACGGGTACGCTAGTATATATATATATATATGTAACCCTCTTTCAGTGAGGATGCTTTTACCCACTGAGGTGTTGTAGTTAAAAGGGCTGACCCTGAGATTTAGGACAAATTGAAGCGACGCTGTTGTCCACTGATTGACTTTATTCAACAGTACATCGAGCCATAAACGGCGATGTAGAACAACAGTAGTACGACGATTAGAGATGAGTAATGAAACAAAAAAAAGGACAAAAACTGTAGCCCCAAAAATAAATGTAAACAAAAAGTTACATCAATGATAATACCACGTGTAGGCTACAAACATACACGGGTGCAATAAAATATGTTGCGGCCAGTACACAGTACTGCCAACAAGTACCAATAAGTAGTACAATAATAAATACTTAAATAAATACTCAACCTAACTAGTGCGCAACACGCAGCACTAGCAGGAATACACAAATAAGTATTCTAACAATAAACATAATTTATATAACCACATTACCTTCATTAGGTCTACATTGTTATTTCTACCTCTAGGTACCGTCACCCTCCGTGTCCACATATAGCAGCCTTGCGTGTGACTGACATGGCTAGGCACGAACTACCCATAATCCCATGTCACATAACATGGGACACAGGTAAAATCGCTCACTGAAGAGCATGCAAAACAAACTACATCAACAGTGTTGCGATCCCACAGGGGCTGCAACCCAATGAATTAAAACTTAATTCGTATCCCCCCATGGCTGGTAAAAGTGGTAACCATATGTGTTACATATATATATATACAGCAATGTATGTATGTTTGTTTGTTTGTCTGTCTTTTAAGCATTACTACACCTCTTACCACATCGCCGTGAAACTTTGGGAAGTTGTTGAGAATATTCCTGGGGAGGTTTCTGCGAAAAAAAAAATTCAAATTCGCAGGGGTGGCGCTCCGGTAGGGCGCGAATTGTTTTTTCGCTTTATACGATATATAAAAATATAAGCCGATTGAGGTTTCTCACCCTTCATCCGATCGCCATCAAACTTTGGGGAGTTGATTACAACACTGCAGGGAAGGGTTCTGCAAAATAATCATTTTTAATTTCGCAAGGGCGGCGCCATGGAAGGGTGTGATTTTTCTCTATGTACGGTATATAAAAATAAAATTCGATTTTGGTTTGACAACATTCATCTGATAGCCATGAGACTTTGGGGGAGTTGATTAGAATACTACCTGGAAGGGTTCTGTAAAAAAATCATTTTTAATTTCGCAAGGGCGGCGCCACGGGAGGATGCGATTTTTCTCTATTTGTGGTATTTAAAAATAATAAATTTGAAGTGCAGTGACATGATCGCCATGAAACTTTGGGAAGCTGCTAAAAATATTTCTGGGGAGGGTTCTGCGGAAAAAAAGTCAAATTCGATGGGGTGGCGCCCCGGCAGTACGCGATTTGTTTTTCCTCTATATACCACATATAAAAATAAATGTCGATTGCGGTTTTACACCGCTCATGCGATCGCCATCAAACTTTGGTGAGTTCTTTAGAACACTATGTGGAAGGGTTCGGTTAAAAAATCTTAATTTCGCAAATGGCGGCGCCTCGGAAGGGTGCGATTTTTCTCTACATGTGATATATAAAAACAATAAAAGTGAATTGCAGTGACACTGTTCACACGATCGCCATGAAACTTTGGGAAGTTGCTAACAATAGTTCTGGGGAGGTTTCTGTGGGAAAAAAAATCAAATTCGCAGGGATGGCGCCCCAGGCATGGCGCGATTTGTTTTTTCTCTATATACGGTATATAAAAATAAAAGTCGATTGCGGTTTGAAATCGTTCATCCGATCGCCATCAAACTTTGGGGAGTTAATTAGAACACTTCAGGTGAGATTTCTGAAAAAAAATCTTTTTTTTACGCCGGCGCCCTGGTAGAGTGCGATTTTGCTGCAAATAAAAATGTCTGTTTCGGCCCCCAAAGGCTAATATGGGCCGCTGAGGGCTGAGATAAAAATAAAATTCGACTGCAGTTTGACACCGTTCATCCGATCGCCATGAAACTTTGGGAAGTTGATTAGAACTTTCCAGGGGAGGATTCTGCAAACAAATCTCTTTTAATTTTGCACGGGCGGAGCCGCGGGAGGGTGCTATTTTTCTCTATATACGGTATATAAAAAATAAAAGGATGCGGTATATATATATATATATATATATATATATATATATATATATATATATATATATATATATATATATATATATATATATATATATATGTTGTGAATAGACTTAAGTGTATTGAATGAGTTCGAGAGTATGTGTGTGGTTGAACAGGGTTAATAGAGATGTTGATGGTTTGAGAGTATGAGTGTAGTTGAATGTGTTTAATAAAGATGTTGATGGTTTGAGAGTATGTGTGTAGTGTGATTAATAAAATATTCGGAATGCGTGATAAAAGAAATAAGGATGTGACGTAGGGGAGTATGTGTTGATTGTTAGGGAAAAAAGTAGAAGTCAGTCTTGTTGTCGTTGTGTTAGGAAGTCTTTGTCCTGTGTCTGCCGTTGATTTAGTCGTCGTGTAAGGTTGATGTAATACAATTATAGAAATGAAGAAAGCCGCCTTGTGTCATCTATATTCGATCGTCCTAACTCATTCGTCCACTTTCAGCATCGACCCTGTCCAAGAACTCGCGTTACATGTTTGCCGTTTTTTATGGTCTTCAAATATTTTAGTTTTACGACATATTGGCTAAAACATCTCAATATTCATGCATTTTTAAAAAGCATTTTTGTGGTGTGAGTGTGTGTGTGGGGGTGGGTGGGGGGGGGGGGGTTGTTCCGTATTTTTCTATTGTTTAAAGTAAATGTACACTTAATTTAAACAATTTTTTTCACGGGGCACAACTCTTATTTTAGTCTTTGGTAAATAACATAGCTTAAAATTAGACATTTAAAAAATTACTAAACAGAATAAAGGCAATAGAGACATTAAATTTACATTTTTTTTAAAAAGTAAATTTTTGTCCCCTAAATGTCGGGGGCCTCTGGTTCCTGCTTTTTCAGCCCCCTCTCTTTAATACGCGACTGGGTAGGTCTACCTATCCATCCCGGTCATCTATTTTAAACTCCAAACGGTCAAATTAGAGAGCCGGCCAACTTTCTTAAGAACATGAATTCTAGAAACAATCAAATTAGAGAAGCAAGCCGGCCAACTTTCTTAAGAACATGAATTCTAGAAACAATCAAATTAGAGAAGCAAGCCGGCCAACTTTCTTAAGAACATGAATTCTAGAAACAATCAAATTAGAGAAGCAAGCCGGCCAACTTTCTTAAGAACATGAATTCTAGAAACAATCAAATTAGAGAAGCAAGCCGGCCAACTTTCTTAAGAACATGAATTCTAGAAACAATCAAATTAGAGAAGCAAGCCGGCCAACTTTCTTAAGAACATGAATTCTAGAAACAATTACAATTTTCTATAGTCACATAGTGCAGTCACTAGATGAAGTCAATTATTTTTTCTATAGCTTTTTATTTTGTGTGTAAGTTGGGGGTAGTTCGTCCCACCACTCAGATAGAAACCTCAAAGAAATACAGCACATAACCTTAAGGAGACACACAAGACATGATGTCAACAAGACATGATGTCAACAAGACATGATGTCAACAAGACATGATGTCAACAAGACATGATGTCAACAAGACATGATGTCAACAAGACATGATGTCAACAAGACATGATGTCAACAAGACATGATGTCAACAAGACATGATGTCAACAAGACATGATGTCAACAAGACATGATGTCAACAAGACATGATGTCAACAAGACATGATGTCAACAAGACATGATGTCAACAAGACATGATGTCAACAAGACATGATGTCAACAAGACATGATGTCAACAAGACATGATGTCAACAAGACATGATGTCAACAAGACATGATGTCAAAAAGACATGATGTCAACAAGACATGATGTCAACAAGACATGATGTCAACAAGACATGATGTCAACAAGACATGATGTCAACAAGACATGATGTCAACAAGACATGATGTCAACAAGACATGATGTCAACAAGACATGATGTCAACAAGACATGATGTCAACAAGACATGATGTCAACAAGACATGATGTCAACAAGACATCTCACCTGAACGGAGTAGCGTCTGGACGCTCGTGTCTTGTCGGCCTTGAGCGCATGCTTGCTGTATACGTACGTCTGTAGAGCAGCAGAGACGAGGATAAAAATAGCCACGACACTTGCAGAAGTTGATTGAAAGAAACATCGAGTAAATCCATTGTTGACCCACACATCTTGCCATGCACTTTCATTAGGACAGAACTGCATTTTACTAGCTGTGGACAGGAGAGATAGACTTGATGCGAGCAACCAGGAGGCACCAACCAGCTGCAACAAGGAGGTAGCCGGCTATTATTATTTAGATGTTAATTTGCCTCCGGCGTTTTACTCGCTGTTTTTACTTTATTAAGCCACCCAGCACTTGTTGAAAACGGTGCATTGCATTATAGTTGTGCGTAAGTGTTTTATATTTTGAGAACTATACAAATAAAATGCAATCAAAGAAGGATTAAACATACCAACAATTATAATAAGTAGAAATACAAACACACTATTTTATACTATAATAAATATTACTATGAAATAATTTTTTAAAAAATAGCGAAAAAATTCATAAAAACGTTTAAATAACAAGTTTCTATGTAATAATGCACTAAAAAGTAGAACTTAAATTATTCTCTTTAAATATTGAATACTGAACTGCTATTTAGCCTAAATAACTAGAAATAAAAGCCTGAATAGTTAGTAGTAACGATGTCGTTTAAAGATGTGAATAGTTAGTAGAGGTAACGATGTAGATTTAAGATGTGGATAATTAGTAGAATCTAGTTACTACTAGTTACGATGTTTATCTATAATCGGTCGTTATGGCTAGATGTAGCATTGTTTTCTCTTTAGTTAGCAAGTCATAATGTAGCCCCCCCCCCCCTCCGCTTTGAATGTCTATCGACCACTAAACTGTCTGTGGAATAATGTTGCAATGAAAGCGTTTTATTACGGACGGCGTAGACAGGCGGGAGAAAGTATAAATATCCAAAAGTCGAGAGCTCGGACCCCCGGGGCAGATGAGGGCCTTCAGCTGAATACACAAATCCATCTACGAAAGAAAGCACCAAAATCAAACAACTGCTGTATTGTTCGGTGTAATCACCGTGCCCATGTTATATGATGCTCTTTAAAAAGCATGTGGTGCTCACGGGAAAGCCCGGTGCGCCAAATCCCACTCAGGATGAGCGTGTGAGGACGCGCCTGATTCGATTTAGTGAACAATTGTAGCACATCATATCTATAGTTTATGGCACTCATTAAAACGAACGTATGCGCCATAGTGCTCGCCGGAGAGCCAGAGACACCCTGCCCATTAGTATTCTCAACAATTCCCATAGTTTCTTGTCTATCGGATGAAATGTGTAGTACCGCAGTAATGCATAAGGGACAGACAGGCAGATTAAGAATAAATAAGAAATCCTATTGTTATCAAAATAACTCACTTTTACTAGTAAGTGAGATTTTTTTCTAAATCATTTATTTAAAAAATAATTAGCTGCTACAGTAATGTTTATTATGTTTAGACCTAACTCTGGGTCTATTTACTTTTCAATTTTGCGTTTAACGACAACATCTAGATCTAGATCTACATTTTATTTTTTACGTGTATTCGGTCATCTTTGCAAATATTTATACTTTTTATCTGGCAGACTTGCAGATGGAAAACGGAAATAGAGGAGATAATTTGTAAACATTGGCAATGTTATGTTTCTAAACATTTTAAAGTTAGAACCAATAATAAAATTTTGATGTAGACCTAGATCTAGATCACAGACAAGATCAATATAAATAATATACTGATATCAAGATCTATAGTCTAGTCAATAATCAATATATTCATAGTATGTTCTCAATGAAAAATGTATTAATAATTATTATAAATTAAAGTCTAAAGTAGTAGACTAGCTCTCTACCAACTATCTAGATCTAGAATAAAAGATCTAAAAATACAGTATATTTATTTACTACTATTATTTAGAGTACTTAGCGCACTGGTCCGTACTTTATTTTCAACGGAACTTACTCAACTAGATCTAGTAATAGTACTTATTAAGTAGGTCTAATAGTAATAGGCCTACTACTGCATTTATTAAATGTTTGTATAGAACTTAAACTTCTCTGCAAGTAAAGTGAATCACTGAATAGTGTGAATACTGCTAGAGATTCTAATAAATCTAACTGAAAATGGAAGAACAGGAAATCTTAACAACTTTAAAAATATTAATAATTGGAGAAAGTGGTGTTGGAAAATCTAGGTGAGTCACACAAGATTAGACGGGTGTGGGGAAATTGCGAGACGCGAAAAGCGAAATGGCGAGGCGGGAAAATGCGAGAAGGGCGCGAAAACGGTCGGTCACGTGACTTTTTTGTCTTGCATTTTACCACAAGCCGATACTTACGCTGGGTGGTGTTGAAATGCGAAGATTTCTGCGAAAAATTTACCGCACCCGATTTTCAGTGGTATTTGGTCCAGACTTCAAAGACGTTTCGTTTACATTGTTAAAACTTCCGATTTTTCCGTCGCTAGACATACTGATGATTTGTCAACTCCCCCCATCTTTTGTGTCGACTTAGAATACCACCTTGTTCGAAACCGACGGAAATACCGCCGACGATAGATCAACTTCTGTCTTTTGTGTGGAACGCCGAGGCCGCCTGATTTACCGTCTTTGAAGATCGCCGTGCCCGGATCCGCTGCCGCCGCAAACATATTTTCTATTGTTGCATAGAAATTTTGTATTATAGCCGCCGCCTACGATTTTTTTCTAGCTTTTTTTACCATATAAATCTAAGCACAAGGAAATGCCTACATCATTTGGATACAACAAAATAAAGTGACGTCACCGATATTATCAGTTGCTCGTGCTATATCGTAAGCTATGGGCCTACTTCAAATATTTTTAAAACCAAGTTGAACTTGTCTGAATTTTTTGGTTTTGGTGGTGGTGTTATTTGGGGTCTTCCATAAATGACGTCACACTCGTAGGGGGGGGGGTCTGTAATTTTATGACGATGTGTGATGAGGGGGGAGGAGGGGGGGTAGATGTGAAGTCACACTATAAAAAAGCAATGTTAGAAAAAGAATTTTAGACGTTTTTTCGCGTTTTAGAAAACTGTTTTAATACATTGTAATAGGAATTGATTAAAATACTCTATTTTGACCGAAATTAGACAAGATTTTGGGAAAATATCGATGTTTTAAAAAAACTCAACTGCTGGTGACAACAATGAGCAAGACATTGCCAAAATTACAGAAATGATAAAAAATATTAATTATAAAAAACGGAAAACAGATGTTGAGCGTGCGGATGATGATGATGAGAACATGGGTGCCAGTGTTGTTTGTGGGATGAACGAGGAGGTCAACTGTGATGAGAATGTGAAATGTTGTGAATGTGGATTGGAAGAAGTAGCAAAAGAAAAATGTATAAATGGGTGTCTAATGAACTGGGTTGGGTGTACTATGTGTGAAAGATGGTGTCACGAGGTGTGTTTGATTTTGTTTGTAATTAAAATTACTTAATAAAAAAATAAATTGCACTTTTTAGAATTGTTTATACTTTTACACTTTTTGCAAGTACAAAAATCCATAAATAGATGTTGCAAAATATCTCTCCTGCTGACAAGATTATACCAATTCACAATGACGCAGCTTACGTTTGTATAAACATGAGCGGGCTAGATTTTTAAATTAATGCCGTGATTTTCCTCTCGCTAACAAGAGCGGGCGATGACAGTAGCACAGCAACGATGTTAGGATTTTTAAATAGATAGATCTAGATATAGATCTATCTTCTTAGTATCTAGATAAAAAATAAAACAACATACAACACTCGTGTTAAAGGGTATGGCTAAATGCTTGTTTATTTTAAAACAAAAAAAAAATAATTTAAATAAATAAAGATGGAAAAAAAAAGGAAAAAACTTTTTTCGCAAAAAGTGTCTCGCTATTTACCCTTAATTCCGCAGGTATGTCTCGCATTACCTTCTCGCAATTTCCCGCCTCGCCATTTCGCTTTTCGCGTCTCGCAATTTCCCCACACCCAGATTAGACAAGACTGAACTTAGATCTAGATTTCCAGATCTTGAGATAATCCGTCATTTTGTGTACCCTACTGTGAGGGTGGGGGGTTTGAGATCTACCGCCAGTTGTGAGGGTGGAGGTGATTCAGATGATGCCAGCTGGTTATAGTTTGGAATTAACACACACAACAACTCCGATCCAAGAGATAATCTTCTTTATTAAAATTTAGTAATTTACACAATCAACTTCCTAACTAACTAATCTATACTGTACTAGATCTGCTACTACTTCCATCTAACTGTTCCCTAGCTCTGCATATCTCTGACCGTCTCTACCACTCTGTCTACCTCTAATTCTCTTCCTAACTCTGACAGTTCTCTTTGCTAACTATCTATGTCTGCCGCTTCAGTGGTCAGCTGACCGTCCCATGAGACCGGTCAGCTCCTGTATTTTCATTGGTCTCTCTAACCAGCTAGCTATAGCCTGTTTCAACCATTTACTCTGAATGCGTGATCACACATAGATCTACATATAGGCCTAGTACATAAATGATAAAATTTGGCCAGTGTAGTGTAGTTATGAGGATAATCTATCATTTTTAGGACAGTAAAATTTTTATATTGTAAAGGATACCGATATCCAATAATAGACTTTTCCAAAAATAGGTTTGTTAGGATCAGGATGTTAGTATAGTATTGATATTTCAATTAATTTTGTGGTTAGAACTTACAGTTAGGCGTATGGTAGTATAAAAAAATTCCCCAAATTTTTAAATTAGCATATTTGTAGCATATTTTACAAAATTTACTAGATGACTGAATACAAATTCACATACAGCCTGGAATGACTTGGTAATCCACGGACTGTCTTAACGGCCTGGAATGTTTGGCCATTAGTTCCCCCTCTGTCCGTCGTTATTAAAATCCTAATTAAAAATGCTAATGAATAAAAAAAACTTTGGCTAAGGGGAAGTAACAATTAGAAAATGAATTCCATTCTGTTTTCGGCTCCGGTATTGGATTGCTTTCTGTTTGTACATGAGCTTTGATTTTTATTTTTAAACGTTAGTGAATATTTCCTCAGTATTTTACTTTGAAAAAGACAGCTGCAGACGGTCCATCTTGATCAGAAAATAACCTTATAACTTCTTTATGTGATTAATTACAATGAGAAAATAAAGAGATGACTAGACATTCATTTTCGTGGTCTTCGTTTTAGTATTAAATATTTTAGTAAAAAAGAACTAGATTTAATAATGAAAATTCGTGCCATTTTTACTGTTATTCTATGAGTGAGCTCAATGTGATAGTCATGAATGAAATAATTCATACAAAGTCGCTTCTCAACTATTTATTATCTAAAAGCTAACGACTTCTAGTATCTAAAATGTAGTTTCTTTGAGGGTTGGGACAATTTTTGGGGTTCTAGGGTAGGTTGAATGCAGATGTTGAGTAGTCAAATTTTACTCTTCCTGTAAATGTCAAGGTCACTATCAACATAAACATAATAAAAAAAATTACTTGTGTATCAAAAGATTCCTTGTCTAATATACTTTCTAAAAAAGGTATACATGTAAGAGTCTCTGATTTTATTTAATACACACTTCTGACAATTTTATCAGGCATATGAACAAATCATAAAATGGCTTGACGCCACAGAACCATTGCATTTGACTATGAGTGAAGAAGTTGCCATCTTTCATAATAAATGTTAGAGTATTTTCCCAATAAGAATTGTTTGTGCTCACATAGGCCTATCAGTGGTGGTGATTTTTGTTGTTAAATGTGGGCATTGGTCAATTGCAAGTAGAGTGTTTTTCAGGCATCTCTTTGATGGGGAGGGGGGGGGGGAGCAGTTCACTTGACATTTTGTCACTTGTTACCCCCTCCTGATACTTGCGCAAAAATTATACTGCACCCGAATTAGACTTCAAAGACGTTTTTCTTTGTATTGTTATAACTTCCATTTTTTTCTACGCTAGGCGTGCTGATGATCAACTTTTTTCTTTTGTGTTGACTTAGAATAACACCTTGTTCGAATCTGTCTGAAATAGCGCATTACAAATTTGTTTCTGTTGCTAGATGTACAGAATATAGATCAACTGATTTTTTATGTGTCAAAACGGAATCTGCTATTTTATTACCTTTTAACATCACTGTCCACACAGTGGATACAATCGCAAAGATTTTTGTATTGTTGCAAAGACATTTTGTATTATTACCCCCGCCTAGAATTTATTTTTTCATTGTATAAATATAAGTTTATTGATTTAAAAGAAAAAATTCAATTAATAATTAAAATTATTTGAAAACATAATAGAAAATTAGGCTAAATAAAGTTATGTTGCCCATTAGGCTAAATAAAGTTATTTTACAGCTTGAGTTAGAAAGGTTGAAGGTTTGGTGTGAACAGATTGAAAATAGAGGAGGGACGAGGATTCTCTTAAAGCCTTAATCACAATACAATTTTTAAAATGTGACAATTTTTGTAACAATTTTTGTTGTAATTTTGGTGACAATTTTTGTGACAATTTTGAAACAATTGTTGTTGTAATTTTGGTGACAATTTTTGTGACAATTTTTGTTACAATTTTTGTGACAATTTTTGTTGTAATTTTGGTGACAATTTTTGTTGTAATTTTGGTGACAATTTTTGTTGTAATTTTGATGACAATTTTGGTGACAATTTTTGTTGTAATTTTGGTGACAATTTTTGTAACAAATTTTTTTCTCAGTTTGTTGTTGCGGTTCACAGAAGACACTTTTGATCCTGAACAAGCAGCTACTATAGGTCAGTACATCTAATTAGTAGGTCAGTACATCTAATTAGTAGGACAGTACAACTAATTAGTAGGTCAGTACAACTAATTAGTAGGTCAGTACATCTAATTAGTAGGTCAGTACAACTAATTAGTAGGTCAGTACAACTAATTAGTAGGTCAGTACATCTAATTAGTAGGTCAGTACAACTAATTAGTAGGTCAGTACATCTAATTAGTAGGTCAGTACATCTAATTAGTTGGTCAGTACATCTAATTTGTAGGTCAGTACAACTAATTCGTAGGTCAGTATAACTTATTAGTAGGTCAGTACATCTAATTAGTAGGTCAGTACATCTAATTAATAGGTCAGTACATCTAATTAGTTGGTCAGTACATCTAGTTAGTAGGTCAGTACATCTAATTAGTAGGTGAGTACATCTAATTAATAGGTCATACATCTAATTAGTTTGTCAGTACATCTAATTAGTAGGTCATACATCTAATTAGTTGGTCAGTACATCTAGTTAGTAGGTCAGTACATCTAATTAGTAGGTCAGTACATCTAATTAGTAGGTCAGTACATCTAATTAGTTGGTCAGCACTTCTAATTAGTAGGTCAGTACATCTAGTTAGTAGGTCAGTACATCTAATTAGGCTACAATAGGTCAGTACATCTAATTTGTGTTGGGTTTGTGTTGTGTAGTTTGTGTTCTGTTAAGATGTGTAGTCTGGGTTGTGTGTAGTTTGTGTTGTCTAGTTTGTGTTGTTTGTATTTTGTGATGTGTTAACATGTGTAGTTTGGGTTGTGTGTATTTTGTGATGTGTTAAGATGTGTAGTTTGTGTTGTGTAGTATGTGTTGTGTGTAGTTTGTGTTGTGTAGTTTGGGTTGTGTGTAGTTTGGGTTGTGTGTAGTTTGGGTTGTGTGTAGGTTAGGTTGTGTGTAGTTTTTGTTGTGTTAAGAAGTGTAGTATGTGTTGTTTGTGTTGTGTACATCTAGTCAAGCTTGACTTATTCTCCAGGTGTTGACTTTAAAGTGAAAACTAAATCTAGTCATGCTTGACTTATTCTCCAGGTGTTGACTTTAAAGTAAAAACTAAATCTAGTCATGCTTGACTTATTCTCCAGGTGTTGACTTTAAAGTAAAAACTAAATCTAGTCATGCTTGACTTATTCTCCAGGTGTTGACTTTAAAGTGAAAACTAAATCTAGTCATGCTTGGCTTATTCTCCAGGTGTTGACTTTAAAGTAAAAACTAAATCTAGTCATGCTTGACTTATTCTCCAGGTGTTGACTTTAAAGTAAAAACTAAATCTAGTCATGCTTGACTTATTCTCCAGGTGTTGACTTTAAAGTGAAAACTAAATCTAGTCATGCTTGACTTATTCTCCAGGTGTTGACTTTAAAGTAAAAACTAAATCTAGTCATGCTTGACTTATTCTCCAGGTGTTGACTTTAAAGTGAAAACTAAATCTAGTCATGCTTGACTTATTCTCCAGGTGTTGACTTTAAAGTGAAAACTAAATCTAGTCATGCTTGACTTATTCTCCAGGTGTTGACTTTAAAGTGAAAACTAAATCTAGTCATGCTTGACTTATTCTCCAGGTGTTGACTTTAAAGTAAAAACTAAATCTAGTCATGCTTGACTTATTCTCCAGGTGTTGACTTTAAAGTGAAAACTAAATCTAGTCATGCTTGACTTATTCTCCAGGTGTTGACTTTAAAGTAAAAACTAAATCTAGTCATGCTTGACTTATTCTCCAGGTGTTGACTTTAAAGTAAAAACTAAATCTAGTCATGCTTGACTTATTCTCCAGGTGTTGACTTTAAAGTGAAAACTAAATCTAGTCAAGCTTGACTTATTCTCCAGGTGTTGACTTTAAAGTAAAAACTAAATCTAGTCATGCTTGACTTATTCTCCAGGTGTTGACTTTAAAGTAAAAACTAAATCTAGTCATGCTTGACTTATTCTCCAGGTGTTGACTTTAAAGTGAAAACTAAATCTAGTCATGCTTGACTTATTCTCCAGGTGTTGACTTTAAAGTAAAAACTAAATCTAGTCATGCTTGACTTATTCTCCAGGTGTTGACTTTAAAGTAAAAACTAAATCTAGTCATGCTTGACTTATTCTCCAGGTGTTGACTTTAAAGTGAAAACTAAATCTAGTCATGCTTGACTTATTCTCCAGGTGTTGACTTTAAAGTGAAAACTAAATCTGTCATGCTTGACTTATTCTCCAGGTGTTGACTTTAAAGTGAAAACTAAATCTAGTCATGCTTGACTTATTCTCCAGGTGTTGACTTTAAAGTGAAAACTAAATCTAGTCATGCTTGACTTATTCTCCAGGTGTTGACTTTAAAGTGAAAACTAAATCTAGTCATGCTTGACTTATTCTCCAGGTGTTGACTTTAAAGTGAAAACTAAATCTAGTCATGCTTGACTTATTCTCCAGGTGTTGACTTTAAAGTAAAAACTAAATCTAGTCATGCTTGACTTATTCTCCAGGTGTTGACTTTAAAGTAAAAACTAAATCTAGTCATGCTTGACTTATTCTCCAGGTGTTGACTTTAAAGTGAAAACTAAATCTAGTCATGCTTGACTTATTCTCCAGGTGTTGACTTTAAAGTGAAAACTAAATCTAGTCATGCTTGACTTATTCTCCAGGTGTTGACTTTAAAGTGAAAACTAAATCTAGTCATGCTTGACTTATTCTCCAGGTGTTGACTTTAAAGTGAAAACTAAATCTAGTCATGCTTGACTTATTCTCCAGGTGTTGACTTTAAAGTAAAAACTAAATCTAGTCATGCTTGACTTATTCTCCAGGTGTTGACTTTAAAGTGAAAACTAAATCTAGTCATGCTTGACTTATTCTCCAGGTGTTGACTTTAAAGTAAAAACTAAATCTAGTCATGCTTGACTTATTCTCCAGGTGTTGACTTTAAAGTAAAAACTAAATCTAGTCATGCTTGACTTATTCTCCAGGTGTTGACTTTAAAGTGAAAACTAAATCTAGTCATGCTTGACTTATTCTCCAGGTGTTGACTTTAAAGTGAAAACTAAATCTAGTCATGCTTGACTTATTCTCCAGGTGTTGACTTTAAAGTGAAAACTAAATCTAGTCATGCTTGACTTATTCTCCAGGTGTTGACTTTAAAGTGAAAACTAAATCTAGTCATGCTTGACTTATTCTCCAGGTGTTGACTTTAAAGTAAAAACTAAATCTAGTCATGCTTGACTTATTCTCCAGGTGTTGACTTTAAAGTAAAAACTAAATCTAGTCATGCTTGACTTATTCTCCAGGTGTTGACTTTAAAGTGAAAACTTTAACAGTTGATGGCAACAAGACCAAACTGGCTATCTGGGTTAGTAGGTCATTTGCTGCGCTAACATTGATGGTAGAGTTTGTATGATTGATGGTAGAGTTTGTATGATTGATGGTAGAGTTTGTATGATTGATGGTAGAGTTTATAAGATTGATGGTAGAGTTTGTATGATTGATGGTAGAGTTTGTATGAGTGATGGTAGAGTTTATAAGATTGATGGTAGAGTTTGTATGATTGATGGTAGAGTTTGTGTGATTGATGGTAGAGTTTATAAGATTGATGGTAGAGTTTGTATGATTGATGGTAGAGTTTGTATGATTGATGGTAGAGTTTGTATGATTGATGGTAGAGTTTATAAGATTGATGGTAGAGTTTGTAAGATTGTTGCAGAGTTTGTAAGATTGATGGTAGAGTTTGTAAGATTGTTGGTAGAGTTTGTATGATTGATGGTAGAGTTTGTATGATTGATGGTAGAGTTTGTAAGATTGTTGCAGAGATTTACTTTAAAACTGTTACAGGACACAGCGGGTCAAGAGAGATTCAGGACATTGACCCCAAGCTATTATAGAGGTGCGCAGGGTGTTATACTAGGTGAGTCAGGTGTTATACTAGGTGAGTCAGGTGTTATACTAGGTGAGTCAAGTGTTATACTAGGTGAGTCAGGTGTTATACTAGGTGAGTCAGGTGTTATACTAGGTGAGTCAAGTGTTATACTAGGTGAGTCAGGTGTTATACTAGGTGAGTCAGGTGTTATACTAGGTGAGTCAGGTGTTATGCTAGGTGAGTCAGGTGTTATACTAGGTGAGTCAGGTGTTATACTAGGTGAGTCAAGTGTTATACTAGGTGAGTCAGGTGTTATACTAGGTGAGTCAGGTGTTATACTAGGTGAGTCAGGTGTTATACTAGGTGAGTCAGGTGTTATACTAGGTGAGTCAGGTGTTATACTAGGTGAGTCAGGTGTTATACTAGGTGAGTCAGGTGTTATACTAGGTGAGTCAAGTGTTATACTAGGTGAGTCAAGTGTTATACTAGGTGAGTCAGGTGTTATACTAGGTGAGTCAGGTGTTATACTAGGTGAGTCAGGTGTTATACTAGGTGAGTCAGGTGTTATACTAGGTGAGTCAGGTGTTATACTAGGTGAGTCAGGTGTTATACTAGGTGAGTCAAGTGTTATACTAGGTGAGTCAGGTGTTATACTAGGTGAGTCAGGTGTTATACTAGGTGAGTCAGGTGTTATACTAGGTGAGTCAGGTGTTATACTAGGTGAGTCAGGTGTTATACTAGGTGAGTCAGGTGTTATACTAGGTGAGTCAGGTGTTATACTAGGCGAGTCAGGTGTTATACTAGGTGAGTCAGGTGTTATACTAGGTGAGTCAGGTGTTATACTAGGCGAGTCAGGTGTTATACTAGGTGAGTCAGGTGTTATACTAGGTGAGTCAGGTGTTATACTAGGTGAGTCAGGTGTTATACTAGGTGAGTCAGGTGTTATACTAGGTGAGTCAGGTGTTATACTAGGTGAGTCAGGTGTTATACTAGGTGAGTCAGGTGTTATACTAGGTGAGTCAGGTGTTATACTAGGTGAGTCAGGTGTTATACTAGGTGAGTCAAGTGTTATACTAGGTGAGTCAGGTGTTATACTAGGTGAGTCAGGTGTTATACTAGGTGAGTCAGGTGTTATACTAGGTGAGTCAGGTGTTATACTAGGTGAGTCAGGTGTTATACTAGGTGAGTCAGGTGTTATACTAGGTGAGTCAGGTGTTATACTAGGCGAGTCAGGTGTTATACTAGGTGAGTCAGGTGTTATACTAGGTGAGTCAGGTGTTATACTAGGCGAGTCAGGTGTTATACTAGGTGAGTCAGGTGTTATACTAGGTGAGTCAGGTGTTATACTAGGTGAGTCAAGTGTTATACTAGGTGAGTCAGGTGTTATACTAGGTGAGTCAAGTGTTATACTAGGTGAGTCAGGTTTTATACTAGGTGAGTCAAGTGTTATACTAGGTGAGTCAGGTGTTATACTAGGTGAGTCAGGTGTTATACTAGGTGAGTCAGGTGTTATACTAGGTGAGTTAAGTGTTATACTAGGTGAGTCAGGTGTTATACTAGGTGAGTCAGGTGTTACTGCCATCCCCAGTGTATGACGTCAGCTGTAAACAGACCTTCAGTAAACTTGATGCCTGGCTCAATGAACTGGAAACTTTTTCAACCAAACACGACATGGTCAAGATGCTCGTTGGAAATAAGATTGACAGGGTTAGTGTTAAAATTATGGGTTAGTGTTAAAGTTCTGGGTTAGTTTTGAAGTCATGTGTTCAAGTTAAAGTTATGGGTTTGTGTTAAAGTTATCAGTGGGTGTTAAAGTTATGGGTTCCTGGCATAATGCACCATCCATCCATCTCAGGTACAAAATTTATAGAATAAAAACAAAAACTCTATGTATAGAGGTAAATGTATAAACATTTTTAAAATTTGCATAAAAAACTTTTTAATAAACAAGCTTTTATGTAAGGAGAAAATAAATTATTATCTTTAAATATATATTATAATACACTACTTAAATTACTATAAAGAAAAGCGTGGGTCACTATATTATCTATTGGATACTTTTACTAATATTTAGGAAGAGACCCATGCTTTTCTTTATAGTTATTTAAACAGTAATGTATTATTATATATTTAAAGAAATCGTTATTCTCCTTTTTAGTGCATTATTACATAAAAAAATTTCATAATATTAAAATTTTTAATACAATAGAGTTTCAAGACTGCCTACTAATTTCAGAACATGTTAATTTATTCCTAAAAAATAAATTAGTCATCAAATTAAGTCAAATTTGATGTCAAATAGCATTGTAGTGCTCAAAATTCAGCTCAAGTGTTTCAATCCATTACGAAAGTCAGATGAAGACTTTGCCAGTCCTTAGTTTTAGACATATCAGCTTGAAGTGGTTGATGTAAACAATGTTGTCACTAGATTATCCCCCTTTTTTTGGGGCAAAAGTTTGTCCACACTAGCACACAAACACCCTAAAAAGTGCTGTGTGTGTTTAACAATCTCTGTAATGGTGAGGTAGAACACCTCAGTGCTGTAATGGTGAGGTAGAACACCTCTAGTCAGAGAATAACAGACTCATTTATTGAACTGGCCGACTCATTGATTGAACTGGCCGACTCATTTATTGAACTGGCCGACTCATTGATTGAACTGGCCGACTCATTGATTGAACTGGCCGACTCATTGATTGAATTGGCCGACTCATTGATTGAACTGGCCGACTCATTGATTGAATTGGCCGACTCATTGATTGAATTGGCCCTAGGATTAGGGTTAGCCTAGCCCTATAACAAGTTGACCATCAAATGTAAAGTAGCCCTATAACAAGTTGACCATCAAATGTAAAGTAGCCCTATAACAAGTTGACCATCAAATGTAATGTAGCCCTATAACAAGTTGACCATCAAATGTAATGTAGCCCTATAACAAGTTGACCATCAAATGTAATGTAGCCCTATAACAAGTTGACCATCAAATGTAATGTAGCCCTATAACAAGTTGACCATCAAATGTAATGTAGCCCTATAACAAGTTGACCATCAAATGTAATGTAGCCCTATAACAAGTTGACCATCAAATGTAAAGTAGCCCTATAACAAGTTGACCATCAAATGTAAAGTAGCCCTATAACAAGTTGACCATCAAATGTAATGTAGCCCTATAACAAGTTGACCATCAGATGTAATGTAGCCCTATAACAAGTTGACCATCAAATGTAATGTAGCCCTATAACAAGTTGACCATCAAATGTAATGTAGCCCTATAACAAGTTGACCATCAGATGTAATGTAGCCCTATAACAAGTTGACCATCAGATGTAATGTAGCCCTATAACAAGTTGACCATCAGATGTAATGTAGCCCTATAACAAGTTGACCATCAGATGTAATGTAGCCCTATAACAAGTTGACCATCAAATGTAATGTAGCCCTATAACAAGTTGACCATCAAATGTAATGTAGCCCTATAACAAGTTGACCATCAAATGTAATGTAGCCCTATAACAAGTTGACCATCAAATGTAAAGTAGCCCTATAACAAGTTGACCATCAAATGTAATGTAGCCCTATAACAAGTTGAACATCAAATGTAAAGTAGCCCTATAACAAGTTGACCATCAAATGTAATGTAGCCCTATAACAAGTTGACCATCAAATGTAATGTAGCCCTATAACAAGTTGACCATCAAATGTAATGTAGCCCTATAACAAGTTGACCATCAAATGTAATGTAGCCCTATAACAAGTTGACCATCAAATGTAATGTAGCCCTATAACAAGTTGACCATCAAATGTAATGTAGCCCTATAACAAGTTGACCATCAGATATAATGTAGCCCTATAACAAGTTGACCATCAAATGTAATGTAGCCCTATAACAAGTTGACCATCAAATGTAATGTAGCCCTATAACAAGTTGACCATCAGATTAACTGACCCCTCAGAGCCAGCATGAAGTCAGTAAAGAGGAAGGTCTGAAGTTTGCCAGAAAGCACCACATGTTGTTCATTGAAGCAAGTGCTAAGACAAATGATGGGGTGCAATGTGCATTTGAAGAACTGGTTGAAAAGGTGGGCTCTAGTTTCATGTTGTGTCTGTAGTTTGATGCTCTAGTTTCATGTTGTGTCTGTAGTTTGATGCTCTAGTTTCATGTTGTGTCTAGTTTGATGCTGTAGTTTCATGTTGTGTCTGTAGTTTGATGCTGTAGTTTCATGTTGTGTCTGTAGTTTGATGCTCTAGTTTCATGTTGTGTCTGTAGTTTGATGCTGTAGTTTCATGTTGTGTCTGTAGTTTGATGCTGTAGTTTCATGTTGTGTCTGTAGTTTGATGCTCTAGTTTCATGTTGTGTCTGTAGTTTGATGCTCTAGTTTCATGTTGTGTCTAGTTTGATGCTGTAGTTTCATGTTGTGTCTGTAGTTTGATGCTGTAGTTTCATGTTGTGTCTGTAGTTTGATGCTGTAGTTTCATGTTGTCTGTAGTTTGATGCTTTAGTTTCATGTTGTGTCTGTAGTTTGATGCTGTAGTTTCATGTTGTGTCTGTAGTTTGATGCTGTAGTTTCATGTTGTCTGTAGTTTGATGCTCTAGTTTCATGTGGTCAGTAATTTGATGCTCTAGTTTCATGTTGTGTCTGTAGTTTGATGCTGTAGTTTCATGTTGTGTCTGTAGTTTGATGCTGTAGTTTCATGTTGTGTCTGTAGTTTGATGCTGTAGTTTCATGTTGTGTCTGTAGTTTGATGCTGTAGTTTCATGTTGTGTCTGTAGTTTGATGCTGTAGTTTCATGTTGTGTCTGTAGTTTTATGCTGTAGTTTCATGTTGTGTCTGTAGTTTGATGCTGTAGTTTCATGTTGTGTCTGTAGTTTGATGCTGTAGTTTCATGTTGTGTCTGTAGTTTGATGCTGTAGTTTCATGTTGTGTCTGTAGTTTGATGCTGTAGTTTCATGTTGTGTCTGTAGTTTGATGCTGTAGTTTCATGTTGTGTCTGTAGTTTGATGCTGTAGTTTCATGTTGTGTCTGTAGTTTTATGCTGTAGTTTCATGTTGTGTCTGTAGTTTGATGCTGTAGTTTCATGTTGTGTCTGTAGTTTGATGCTGTAGTTTCATGTTGTCTGTAGTTTGATGCTCTAGTTTCATGTGGTCAGTAATTTGATGCTCTAGTTTCATGTTGTGTCTGTAGTTTGATGCTGTAGTTTCATGTTGTGTCTGTAGTTTGATGCTGTAGTTTCATGTTGTGTCTGTAGTTTGATGCTGTAGTTTCATGTTGTGTCTGTAGTTTGATGCTGTAGTTTCATGTTGTGTCTGTAGTTTGATGCTGTAGTTTCATGTTGTGTCTGTAGTTTTATGCTGTAGTTTCATGTTGTGTCTGTAGTTTGATGCTGTAGTTTCATGTTGTGTCTGTAGTTTGATGCTGTAGTTTCATGTTGTGTCTGTAGTTTGATGCTGTAGTTTCATGTTGTGTCTGTAGTTTGATGCTGTAGTTTCATGTTGTGTCTGTAGTTTGATGCTGTAGTTTCATGTTGTGTCTGTAGTTTGATGCTGTAGTTTCATGTTGTGTCTGTAGTTTTATGCTGTAGTTTCATGTTGTGTCTGTAGTTTGATGCTGTAGTTTCATGTTGTGTCTGTAGTTTGATGCTGTAGTTTCATGTTGTGTCTGTAGTTTGATGCTGTAGTTTCATGTTGTGTCTGTAGTTTGATGCTGTAGTTTCATGTTGTGTCTGTAGTTTGATGCTCTAGTTTCATGTGGTCAGTAGTTTGATGATAGGTTCAATGACACAAGATCTCAGAACTAAATATTTGAGGCCAAATTATTTATAGTATTTAGTCATTAGGATTGAATAAGTTGATTTGGACATTTTTAAAATTGATTGTCGTATGGTTTTTTATTTACTTTTCACATGGTAATTGTGAGAACAACAGCCTGCAAAGAAACTTGAGTGTAACATTTGTGTGACCATGTCAATGTTTGTGTTGACCATGTCAATGTTTGTGTTGACCATGTCAATGTTTGTGTTGACCATGTCAATGTTTGTTGACCATGTCAACATTTGTGTGACCATGTCAACGTTTGTGTTGACCATGTCAATGTTTGTGTTGACCATGTCAATGTTTGTGTTGACCATGTCAATGTTTGTGTTGACCATGTCAATGTTTGTGTTGACCATGTCAATGTTTGTGTTGACCATGTCAATGTTTGTGTTGACCATGTCAATGTTTGTGTTGACCATGTCAATGTTTGTGTTGACCATGTCAATGTTTGTGTTGACCATGTCAATGTTTGTGTTGACCATGTCAATGTTTGTGTTGACCATGTCAATGTTTGTGTTGACCATGTCAATGTTTGTGTTGAACATGTCAATGTTTGTGTTGAACATGTCAACATTTGTGTTGACCATGTCAACTTTTGTGTTGACCATGTCAATGTTTGTGTTGACCATGTCAATGTTTGTTGACCATGTCAACATTTGTGTTGATCATGTCAATGTTTGTGTTGACCATGTCAACATTTGTGTTGACCATGTCAACGTTTGTGTTGAACATGTCAATGTTTGTGTGACCATGTCAACGTTTGTGTTGACCATGTCAAACAAATATTAGTTTTATGTTATCAACTCAAAGACCCAATCCCCTTTTTGAAAACTATTTCACATTTGTTTAACACTTTATTTGTTTTATGCATTTTTTTTTAAAAATATGTTATTAAATTCTATTTAAGTTCATTTGGTCATTTTAGTATAATCTATGTCTTAAAACTATTAGGTGAAAAAAGTGTAAATAAAAAACTTTGGATAATTCAAAAATGTTGAGATGAACTCAAATCATCCTAATCGTTATAAATATTTTGCTGTGAGTTGTCCAGTCATCTGATAGTAGGATTTTCTACTCAATATTTATTCCGTCTTAGTGTATATATCACTATATTTATTCCCTGTCTTAGTGTATATATCACTATATTTATTCCCTGTCTTAGTGTATATATCACTATATTTATTAACTGTTGTCTGTTCCCTGTATTTATTCCCTATATTTAATCCCTATATTTATTCTCTATATTTATTCCCAATATTTACTCCCCATATTTATTCCCCATATTTATTCTCTATATTTATTCCCCATATTTATTCCCCATATTTATTCCCTATCATTATTCCTTCAATAATGGCATTCAAATAAAGAATTTGGTTTTCCCTCTGAAATGTAGCCTGCCAATGTTTAGAGAAGGATTAAAACAAGTCAATACATACCAGAGTCAGGGAACTAGCACAGGTCACATAGCTCAAATTGTTGCAACTTTTATAAACTCCCAAAAGTAGAGCTTAGTTCTTCAAGGACTATCTTTGTTTAAGTTCAAGAGCTCAATTCTGTTTGTTTCAAATGTGTCAACAGCTATACTTGTGAAATAACATTGATATCATGTCAGGTCTAGTGTCTTAGAATGTCTGGTCTAGTGTCTTAGAATGTCTGGTCTAGTGTCTTAGAATGTCTGGTCTAGTGTCTTAGAATGTCTGGTCTAGTGTCTTAGAATGTCTGGTCTAGTGTCTTAGAATGTCTGGTCTAGTGTCTTAGAATGTCTGGTCTAGTGTCTTAGAATGTCTGGTGTCTTAGAATGTCTGGTCTAGTGTCTTAGAATGTCTGGTCTAGTGTCTTAGAATGTCTGGTCTAGTGTCTTAGAATGTCTGGTCTAGTGTCTTAGAATGTCTGGTCTAGTGTCTTAGAATGTCTGGTCTAGTATCTTAGAATGTCTGGTCTAGTATCTTAGAATGTCTGGTGTCTTAGAATGTCTAGTGTCTTAGAATGTCTGGTCTAGTGTCTTAGAATGTCTGGTCTAGTGTCTTAGAATGTCTGGCAGGGGCGTAGCGAGGGGGGGGGGGCGGGGGGTGCGGACCGCACCGGGTGACACCATTTAGGGGGGTGACACCAAGGCAAAAAATAGCAAAATATATAGAGAAAAACTCGAGGGGGGGGTGCAAATCGAAAGTTTGAGGGGGGGTGCAAATCGAAAATTTGAAAGTTTGTCCCTGGGAAGGGTCTCTATGCCTCTGGGGGGGGGGGGGGTGACACCATTAAGTGCCGCACCGGGTGACACCCGACCTCGCTACGCCACTGATGTCTGGTCTAGTATCTTAGAATGTCTGGTCTAGTATCTTAGAATGTCTGGTGTCTTAGAATGTCTAGTGTCTTAGAATATCTGGTCTAGTATCTTAGAATGTCTGGTGTCTTAGAATGTCTGGTGTCTTAGAATGTCTGGTGTCTTAGAATGTCTGGTGTCTTAGAATGTCTGGTGTCTTAGAATGTCTGGTGTCTTAGAATGTCTGGTGTCTTAGAATGTCTGGTGTCTTAGAATGTCTGGTGTCTTAGAATGTCTGGTGTCTTAGAATGTCTGGTGTCTTAGAATGTCTAGTGTCTTAGAATGTCTGGTCTAGTGTCTTAGAATGTCTGGTCTAGTGTCTTAGAATGTCTAGTGTCTTAGAATGTCTAGTGTCTTAGAATGTCTAGTGTCTTAGAATGTCTGGTCTAGTGTCTTAGAATGTCTGGTGTCTTAGAATGTCTGGTGTCTTAGAATGTCTGGTCTAGTGTCTTAGAATGACTGGTCTAGTGTCTTAGAATGTCTAGTGTCTTAGAATGTCTAGTGTCTTAGAATGTCTAGTGTCTTAGAATGTCTGGTCTAGTGTCTTAGAATGTCTGGTGTCTTAGAATGTCTTGTGTCTTAGAATGTCTGGTCTGGTGTCTTAGAATGTCTAGTGTCTTAGAATGTCTAGTGTCTTAGAATGTCTGGTCTGGTGTCTTAGAATGTCTGGTCTGGTGTCTTAGAATGTCTAGTGTCTTAGAATGTCTGGTCTAGTGTCTTAGAATGTCTGGTCTAGTGTCTTAGAATGTCTGGTCTAGTGTCTTAGAATGTCTGGTCTAGTGTCTTAGAATGTCTGGTCTAGTATCTTAGAATGTCTGGTCTAGTATCTTAGAATGTCTGGTGTCTTAGAATGTCTAGTGTCTTAGAATGTCTGGTCTAGTGTCTTAGAATGTCTGGTGTCTTAGAATGTCTAGTGTCTTAGAATGTCTGGTCTAGTATCTTAGAATGTCTGGTCTAGTATCTTAGAATGTCTGGTGTCTTAGAATGTCTAGTGTCTTAGAATGTCTAGTGTCTTAGAATGTCTGGTCTAGTGTCTTAGAATGTCTGGTGTCTTAGAATGTCTGGTGTCTTAGAATGTCTGGTGTCTTAGAATGTCTGGTGTCTTAGAATGTCTGGTGTCTTAGAATGTCTGGTGTCTTAGAATGTCTGGTGTCTTAGAATGTCTGGTGTCTTAGAATGTCTGGTCTAGTGTCTTAGAATGTCTGGTGTCTTAGAATGTCTGGTGTCTTAGAATGTCTGGTCTAGTGTCTTAGAATGTCTGGTCTAGTGTCTTAGAATGTCTGTGTTTTCCTCAGATCATTCAGACCCCAGGCCTGTGGGAGACAAGTGGCAAAGGTTTGAAACTTGACCAGAGGTCAGCGCCAGGAGCTACTGGCCAGAGCTGTTACTGCTAACTCAGATGTGATGACATCTTTAGGGCCAAACATGTGTCATGTCATGTCATGTCATCTAATACTAGCAGATGAGAAGCTGTTGTGTGTGTGGAGTAACAGCCCAATGGCTAGTGATGGCACCTAGTGTATCAGTTAACTGTGGGCACCTAGTGTATCAGTTAACTGTGGGCACCTAGTGTATCAGTTAACTGTGGGCACCTAGTGTATCAGTTAACTGTGGGCACCTAGTGTATCAGTTAACTGTGGGCACCTAGTGTATCAGTTAACTGTGGGCACCTAGTGTATCAGTTAACTGTGGGCACCTAGTGTATCAGTTAACTGTGGGCACCTAGTGTATCAGTTAACTGTGGGCACCTAGTGTATCAGTTAACTGTGGGCACCTAGTGTATCAGTTAACTGTGGGCACCTAGTGTATCAGTTAACTGTGGGCACCTAGTGTATCAGTTAACTGTGGGCACCTAGTGTATCAGTTAACTGTGGGCACCTAGTGTATCAGTTAACTGTGGGCACCTAGTGTATCAGTTAACTGTGGGCCCCTAGTGTATCAGTTAACTGTGGGCACCTAGTGTATCAGTTAACTGTGGGCACCTAGTGTATCAGTTAACTGTGGGCACCTAGTGTATCAGTTAACTGTGGGCACCTAGTGTATCAGTTAACTGTGGGCACCTAGTGTATCAGTTAACTGTGGGCACCTAGTGTATCAGTTAACTGTGGGCACCTAGTGTATCAGTTAACTGTGGGCACCTAGTGTATCAGTTAACTGTGGGCACCTAGTGTATCAGTTAACTGTGGGCACCTAGTGTATCAGTTAACTGTGGGCACCTAGTATATCAGTTAACTGTGGGCACCTAGTATATCAGTTGACTGTGGGCACCTAGTATATCAGTTGACTGTGGGCACCTAGTGTATCAGTTAACTGTGGGCACCTAGTGTATCAGTTAACTGTGGGCACCTAGTGTATGTGTATCAGTTAACTGTGGGCACGTAGTGTATCAGTTAACTGTGGGCACCTAGTGTATCAGTTGACCATTGCTAGTTGACTTGATGGCACCTAGTATATCAGTTGACCATTGCTAGTTGACTTGATGGCACCTAGTGTATCAGTTGACCATTGCTAGTTGACTTGATGGCACCTAGTATATCAGTTGACCATTGCTAGTTGACTTGATGGCACCTAGTATATCAGTTGACCATTGCTAATTGACTTGATAGCACCTAGTATATCAGTTGACCATTGCTAGTTGACTTGATAGCACCTAGTATATCAGTTGACCATTGCTAGTTGACTTGATGGCACCTAGTATATCAGTTGACCATTGCTAGTTGACTTGATGGCACCTAGTATATCAGTTGACCATTGTATGACCTGAACATTTGAAAAGAATTGTGTTGTTGAGTGGATCCTTGTTTCACCCAATCTAATGGTCCTCAACAATTTCTATTGGCTCAAAGCCAGGTCACTCAGAGAAAAATAAAGGGCCACCCACAATTGTGTCTCATGAGCTGAAATCAACAGTCATAACACAAAGATCACCCCCCCCCCCCCACACACACACTGTACATGACATGACCTATGTTTGGCCCTGGTGTAATTATTCAGCATGTAATCTGTCATCTTGATGTATTCAACTTGACAGTGGCAACAGATTGGAGAGCCAGCTATGGACATGAAATGATGTACGGGTCACATATCAGTGACCCATACAAGTCAGTGACCCATACATGCCAGCTCCCTCTAAATGTGACTGCCACTGACTTGACCTAGTTAGGTAAATGACTTGTTGGTCTCTGGGTTCTTTGATTATTTCCCCTTATACATTGACTTTAATAAAGAGAATTGTAAATAAAACATTTGTTGTGTCTGCCTGACATATTTCATACTGGCTCAACCCTAACCCATAGATTGGGCCAACCCTAACCCATAGATTGGGCCAACCCTAACCCATAGATTGGGCCAACCCTAACCCATAGATTGGGCCAACCCTAACCCATAGATTGGCCCAACCCTAACCCATAGATTGGGCCAACCCTAACCCATAGATTGGGCCAACCCTAACCCATAGATTGGGCCAACCCTAACCCATAGATTGGGCTAACCCATAGATTGGGCCAACCCTAACCCATAGATTGGGCCAACCCTAACCCATAGATTGGGCCAACCCTAACCCATAGATTGGGCCAACCCTAACCCATAGATTGGGCCAACCCTAACCCATAGATTGGGCCAACCCTAACCCATAGATTGGGCCAACCCTAACCCATAGATTGGGCCAACCCTAACCCATAGATTGGGCCAACCCTAACCCATAGATTGGCCCAACCCTAACCCATAGATTGGGCCAACCCTAACCCATAGATTGGGCCAACCCTAACCCATAGATTGGGCCAACCCTAACCCATAGATTGGGCCAACCCTAACCCATAGATTGGGCCAACCCTAACCCATAGATTGGGCCAACCCTAACCCATAGATTGGCTCAACATTATCATTAACCAGAGGCGTGGCGATGGGGGGGGGCAGGGGGGGGGGACATATGTCCCCGGGCGCCGACCTTAGGGGGCGCCAAAATGGTTTATAAAAATGTCATTTTAGCTGCATTTTTGCAGTTTGAGAGGGGGGCGCCAAATTGAAAGTTTGTCCCCGGGCGCCGGTTAGGGTCGCTATGCCTCTGTCATTAACTCATACATTGGGACAACCCTAACCCATAGATTCGCTCAACATTAACTCATAGATTGGCCTAACATTAACACATATATTAGCCCAACATTAACTCTCAATTAAAGTTGGCCCAACCCTCACTAGAAATTGCCCTTGCCTAATAACAATATTGTTAGCATTCTTTTTCAAACAACATTAAAATTCATAATTCTAAAAGTAGTAAAAGTAAAAAATATTTCAAGTATAGGATCTTCCACTTATTTATGAAATTTCGTCTACCAAACTGAAATAATTATTAATTCTTATAATACTCGTCATAATGTTCACATAGTAGAAACTAAAATTTCCGAAATCGTTCAAATTTTGAAAGAAATATGGACTTACAATGCTATATTTATATGTGAAATTTCGTCCATCAACTTCAAAAGTACTCAAGTTATTGGCTTCTGAGAAATCAAAAGTAAGGGAAGTATCACTTCCGGCTACCGGAAATCGCCCAAAAGTTGATACTGAAATAAAAATTGATAAAGTTCTTGTGTATGAAATTTCGTCAACATAAATGAAAAAGTACTCAAGTTATTATGTATACAGACACAATTGCAAAAAAAGGTTTTCCCGACACAGAGAAGTGAAAACGTCGAAATTTGTCAATATTTTTATTTTTTGCACGATTACAATGCTCCCTCTAAACTTCGTTTACGAGAAAGTAAAAACGATATAAGTTAGTGTTACAGAATATTGCACACACACAACATATATATCTGCTAGACATATGTAACACTGCCTCGTTGGGGATAAGTTGTGTTGGCCACCCGTTGAAGTGTAGTGCGCTTGATACGGGCTGGGCCTGAGAACACAGCAAACAAAACGCTGCTTGTTCTGGGCTGGGCCTGAGAACACAGCAAACAAAACGCTGCTTGTTCTGGGCTGGGCCTGAGAACACAGCAAACAAAACGCTGCTTGTTCTGGGCTGGGCCTGAGAACACAGCAAACAAAACGCTGCTTGTTCTGGGCTGGGCCTGAGAACACAGCAAACAAAACGCTGCTTGTTCTGGGCTGGGCCTGAGAACACAGCAAACAAAACGCTGCTTGTTCTGGACTGGGCCTGAGAACACAGCAAACAAAACGCTGCTAGTTCTGGGCTGGGCCTGAGAACACAGCAAACAAAACGCTGCTTGTTCTGGGCTGGGTTTGAGAACACAGCAAACAAAACGCTGCTTGTTCTGGGCTGGGCCTGAGAACACAGCAAACAAAACGCTGCTTGTTCTGGGCTGGGCCTGAGAACACAGCAAACAAAACGCTGCTTGTTCTGGGCTGGGCCTGAGAACACAGCAAACAAAACGCTGCTTGTTCTGGGCTGGGCCTGAGAACACAGCAAACAAAACGCTGCTTGTTCTGGGCTGGGCCTGAGAACACAGCAAACAAAACGCTGCTTGTTCTGTGCTGGGCCTGAGAACACAGCAAACAAAACGCTGCTTGTTCTGGGCTGGGCCTGAGAACACAGCAAACAAAACGCTGCTTGTTCTGGGCTGGGCCTGAGAACACAGCAAACAAAACGCTGCTTGTTCTGGGCTGGGCCTGAGAACACAGCAAACAAACCGCTTCTTGTTCTGGGCTGGGCCTGAAAACACAGCAAACAAAACGCTGCTTGTTCTGGGCTGGGCCTGAGAACACAGCAAACAAAACGCTGCTTGTTCTGGGCTGGGCCTGAGAACACAGCAAACAAAACGCTGCTTGTTCTGGGCTGGGCCTGAGAACACAGCAAACAAAACGCTGCTTGTTCTGGGCTGGGCCTGAGAACACAGCAAACAAAACGCTGCTAGTTCTGGGCTGGGCCTGAGAACACAGCAAACAAAACGCTGCTAGTTCTGGGCTGGGCCTGAGAACACAGCAAACAAAACGCTGCTTGTTCTGGGCTGGGCCTGAGAACACAGCAAACAAAACGCTGCTTGTTCTGGGCTGGGCTTGAGAACACAGCAAACAAAACGCTGCTTGTTCTGGGCTGGGCCTGAGAACACAGCAAACAAAACGCTGCTTGTTCTGGGCTGGGCCTGAGAACACAGCAAACAACACGCTGCTTGTTCTGGATCAGCCTTATAAACTTCATTACTTTATATCGACTATAGACTTCCTTAGAATTACAACTTCAACATTGCAATTTCCCATCGCCCTGCATTAGGTTCTATTTACGTTACTCCAGTTATTCTGTGTGACTTGTCTGTATACAGTGATTGTAGGAAAAAAAAAAGTCACAAATGTTTATTTGCATGAAATTTGTTAATACTTGTATTTACTAAGCTAATCAACTTACGTTTAATTACATGTAATGTAATCATTTCACATATACATCTATATAGTAATATTTATAACACAAAAAAGATTTCAGTAAAAAGCTTGTAGGTTTTAATTGTAATTCTTTTTCACCTATAATATTTAATATAATTTAATATGTTGTTCAAACCTTCTCGGTTTCAATTGTGTTTTTCAAATGCTTACTTTTAATAGCGTGAAATAGCATAAGGACACAGTTAAAGTGACTTTATGTCCTCAACTAATCACAACAGTAGTTCAACCACCTTTATTGCCCACATTTATCACGCTTTTTACATAACAAAGCGTAGGATCAAAAGAGAAAGCCGACACGGTACAAAGGCTGTCATTGACGCAAAACGTCAACAACACATCATATGGACGGACAAGGCCGACTGAGGAGAAGCCGACCAAGGAATGGCAAAAAATTAAACATGCAAAACACAATTATGTGCCTAAAATTCGTTTATAATTAATATTTCTAGAACGTATTTTACTGAATTCATGACAAAAGTTGTGGTTGCTGTGTAAATTAGGTTACAGTATTTGTACTTATTAGTGTTATAAACCACAATGCTTTTATCGTTTAAAAAAATGCTAAAAACAACAAGCCACACCAATAAACACCCACAATTTTACAATTCTCAACAAAATAAAAATATTTATTAAAAGATTTTTCTGACTTTTTTTTCTGTGACTTTATTTCTGTGACTTTTTTCCCAAAAAACTTTCCTTTGTGACTTTTTTTCTGTGACTTTTTTCCGA